ACCGGAGGCTGAAAGTGGCTTGGTGGCCAATTCATGAGGAGCTTTACCACCTCAAGGACTCTGAAAGATTCGGAAATCCTGGACATGATCGAGAAGTAGACGCCATAAGGACTTCTGTTCTAGTTAGAACTCCTCGACCTGTGCATGACTCCACCTATAAAAGGGACACAGGTTCATTCATTTTACACAACACTCATATACACAAATACGCTTTGTCTTGTGATTCCTACCACTTTCTCTTGAATACCCTACTGACTTGAGCATCGGAGTGTCCACGTCGGGACCACCCCCGGCGTGTTTTGCAGGTACCGACGATCAAGAAAGCTCAATCCAATTCGAGAGGGGCGGTCGAGCGTTTCAGATATTTGTGGTATAACAAAGTAGATGTTCGTTATCTCTACTAACTTAAAAGGGTGAATATTTCTGTAAAATTTTGTGTACACTAAAATACCCTCTATCAAACAAAATTTGTTAAAGGTTTGTAATGGCAAAAAAATACTTTACAATTTGGTCTTTTCATATTCCTAAACGTTTCAAGATTCAGATTTTGTTATCCATCGATATATATGCAAATCCTTCAGCCAAACCTCTACAAATTATTTTGCGTCTAATTTTTTATCTTCCTCCAGTTCACTATCGAATTATGTGGTGTGCAATTGTTTCTCATCCTCCCATTAACGCACGGTAGAACCACCCCGAGCGTTATGATTTCATCGCGTTTTTTGGAAACCAATCGGGTCAAATTAGGAATCGAATATTTTTTGGGAGGGTTTTTCCGCTTCGACGGCAATACCACCATGAGTGCGAGGATTTAATCGCCGTTATTGGGAAACATACGGTACAGGTCCACCGAAGGTCATCGGCTTTGCTTTAGATTTTTTTCTGCACCTGAAAGTTTCGACGACGGCAGAGCAACAGACAGTCTTTTCTTGTAGTTCTGACTGGAAATATTTGTTTTGTGTTATGTTTTCAGTTCATTTTACATTATTTTGGCGGTCCATTTAGGGATCGGAGTTTTCTTTTTGAGGGTTTTACAAGTCCACGAAGGTCATCACCTTCATTAGACATGCATAAACGAGCCCGACCTTCTTTCTAACTAACTGTTGTGTTTTTTTGTGAAACTTTCAGGAGGATTTAATTTTAGCCATCTTCAGATCTGATTTTTTTTATAATTGTTTCATTACTTTTTAATTTAAATTAATTGTAATTCGCACGAATTTCATCATACTTTTTTCGTGTGTGAAATTATTCATCTGAAGTTGAGGTGTCCCTTTGCATGGTTTTTCTTGCTTCCTTGCTTTCTGGGTACAGTTAGGTATTAGGGAATCTGTGATTACATTTTTACAAAATATGTTAATTTTAGTGACATGTTATCGCCACATATAAATAATTGCAACTCCATTTCTTGTTTTCCAATCACAAACCTAAAATATTAAATTAATCTAATATTAGTTGCACCAAATGTTTTGTTTGAAAAATTGTTCTCTCAGTATTATCTCGTCTCTTTTCTCAATTTTCAAATAGCTCTCATTACTATCTCTTATAATTTACTCTATTTTCAAATAGAATAAGTGTATAATGTGTTACCTAATCAAAATGCTTCAATCCTAGACCTCATAACTCCAACAATATACTCCAATCGCACACTTAAACATTTGTAGGAATGTTTTTATCGGACGGTGAATCTCTCGTGAATATAGTGACCAGGGGTAGAGGAAAATTAAGTTTTTTTATGTGTATGTAAAAATTTGTGTACACTAAAATACCCGATCAAACAAAATTTATTAATGATTTGTAATGGCAAAAAAATACTTTGCAATTTGGTCTTTTAAAATTCGTAAAAGTTTCAAGTTTCAACATTCATATTTGGTTATCCATCAATATATGTGCAAATCCTTCAGCCAAACCCCTACAAATTATTTGGTGTGTAATTGTTTCTCTTCCTTCAGTTCACTACAAATTATTTGGTGTGCAATTGTTTCTCTTCCTTCAGTTCACTACAAATTATTTGGTGTGCAATTGTTTCTCTTCCTCCCATTCACACACGGCAAAACCAACAACGAGTTTATTTGGGAGGGTTTTTCTGGTCCGACAGCAAAACCACCACGAGTGCGAGGATTTAATCGCCGTTATTGGGAAACAAACGGGTCAAATTAAAGATCGGAGTTTTCTTTTTGAGGGGTTTACAGGTCCACCGAAGGTTATCAGCTTTGCGCGAGATTTTTTTATGCACTTGGAATTTTCAACCGGCGACGATAGAGGAATAGGCGAGTCTTTTCTTATAGTTATGGAAATAATTGTCTTTTCTTATAGTTATGGAAATAATTGTTTTTGTTCTGTGTTTTCAGTTTATTTTACATTATTTTGGCTGCTACAAATTGTTCGTCATTAATCAATGAATGAGTTACTAACAATTGTTTACATGATTTTTTTAAAAAAAAAATATTATGCCTTCATTTTCCTGTCTATAATTGTTTTCCATTGTTCGTATATGCAATTCTGGAATGACTCTCTTAGTTAAAATTGAATTTTGGAGTCAAAGATTAATCTATGGAGGTGGTCAAGGTCTTTCTAATATCTATTTACCTAAAGCAACTTAATCAATGAACATAATAATGCTCTAGATAAAGGATAAGGAACAAATAAATGCCAAAAGCTAATACTCAAATCTAACAGTAAGCAATCCTTCCTTTCCTACTGTAATACTACAATCATAAATGGCTTTAGATAGCACCAAAGAAATGATACGTAAAAGTTATAAAATGTTACGTTAAAACTATAAAATGTTACTATAGACAATAGGTAATACAATATTGGCGCTACAGTTGTTTGTGCTACCTAAAGGTCAAAGGTAATACTTTTGATAATTTTTGGTAATACTTATATGATACTTTTGCTAATTTTTGGTAATACTTATATTAATAATGTTACAATAATATGATACATAAAACAATAATTGTAAAGTATAACAGTAAATGTTGCTACCTAAAGTCATTTATATTGTAGTAATGATCAATAAGATTTGGTTCTTACCAAGTTCTAAAAGAATAACGTGATACTTTTTTATCGAAAGTCTGAGCTTATAAATTATAGTGCAGATAACATTGTTCCTTACAACTTTGCTCATTAATCATTTCGGGGCATTAGTTGGCGAGGTTATTGCTAAAGCAGTATTCCATTTATATCCATCAGTAAATATTTGTATTATATGGTGTAATATGATATGGTGTATGAAGGCCATATTTCCACTAATTGATATTCACTTGTGAAGACCATATTTCCACTAATTATTATTCGATTCGTTTATACTTTATTATTTTTTTTATAACAAATATTATAATTATTAATTCCACAACAGGACAATTATGGAAAACCAACATTTCATACCTTTGATACTTTTGAAAGAAAATAGTAAAAATTTCAACTTACGTCTAAAAGTTCTATGAATTGCACCTGAACTATCTTGCGGAAAAAATCTTTCAATAAGGATCCGCAGAGACGTATTCTTCAGCCTGACGACATTCCTCTCCACCTCCGCACCCTTATACGGATGACCAGATTGGATACCCATCGTTCAGATTTGGACAATCGGACTTACATTTTGGTGCATCTGCTTACTCGTGATGTTGACTCTTCACCTGGACTCTTTCAGGACTAGGATCAGATTTTTGTTGGTTATTTGCAACTGTTGTCTTTTTCTTTAAAAAAAAAATAAAAAAGAAAAGAAAAACAGAATCCGTAAAATTATTATGAGTGATGAAGTGGTAAGTAGTGCTATCAAATTCTATGTCATTTAGCCAATTTTAATATTTTTCAAATTATAAATCTTAATTTATAAATTTTTCCTTATTTTGCAGGGAATAAAGATTGGTGTCATAATATTCAATGATGAAATTGATTTCTTTACCGAAAAAGTTGCAATTAATAATGCTTATATTATTTCTAATTGTGAAATTAATAAACCAAAGCAAACTTTTATTACTCCAAACTCGGATGTAGAATTGGTGTTAAATAGACATACTTCTATGATTCATGTAGTAGATACTATTGGAAATGTATTAATACAACTTTGTGGATTTTGAAGATCTTAACCTTCATCTTCACAAAAATGGAGCAGGTTTAGTCCCATAAAACTTTATCGATTGTCTATTTGTTAATTATTTATATATTTTTTTTATTCATTTTATAATAGATTAACACCTCCTATAGATGTTTGTGGAAATCACACTCATCAATGAATAGTAAGAAAATATTTATCTCAAACAAATTTATTACTATTTACAATTTTTAATACACCTTATTTTATTTAATAAAATTTTGTCTCATGAAGTATGCGCCCCTTGCTTGTTACTCTGTGGGAAGATTTAGCATCTAATGAAGCAAAACAATTGGAAGAAAATATGCCAAATAGTCTTATAGGTGAAATTTCTCAAGTCACTCCTAAAATATACCTTGGTAATACTTAAATAAATTTTTTTTTTATTATTAAACATAATCTAATTATATATAATATAATTAAAAATAATATCTTATTTTGCATGTTTATTAATTATTAATTTTAGGTGAAATTCAAGTTCAAACTACTGGAGCATTCGTAATACAGATAAATCCACAATGTCATTAACCCGGTCTTTTGAAAAATTGGTGTGATTATTATTTTTATTTATAAAATATAATTTTATATTTTGTATGTTGAAATATTACTATTCATAACTTTCTAATATACATATATTTTTATATGTTACAAAAATAGATTGGATAAAACTCAAAATCGGATTAAACTTCGATAATTAGCAACTATTCAAAGAATGAAGTTGGCAATTCAAGTGACACTCAGCACCATCGTAGACAACAAACATATATTATCCCAAGTAAAATTAGTTTCCTTTTTTTCTTTTAAGTTTCATTACAATATTTTCTAAGTTTTTCTTTTTTATAGTTTTCAAGGATAAGTATTATTGTTTCGAAGGAGTTGTTGATATATTGAAAATAAATTGTCCATGTGGTACGATGCATGCACAAAATGTTCCGCTTTTGTTTTTAAAACCAAAGATACAACAATTTGCAACAAATGCAAAGAGGAAAATGTCGAAACCAAACCTAGGTACGGATACAATAAAGTTTACTTTATTAATAATTCTTAATATATTATATATTTATCATTATTTTATTAATTGTAGATACAGGGTTGTTTTGAATGTCGTCCATGGATCACACAATGCAACCATAACTATGTTTGAGGAAGCTGCTACTGCATTCATTGGTTGCACAGTTCTTGAATACATAAAATCCATTGAGGAGGTAACAAAATTCAATACAACATATTTAATATATTTATTTTATTTCATTTAAAACTAACATTCTTATTAAACTTATTCATCCAGGGGAAAAACAACTCCAAATTTTGTAGAGACCTCAGCTTGCAAACTTCAGCTACAATTAAATTTCTCATACCATTAAATGCTAAAACCAAGGTGGACGATAAAAAGCTAATTGTTGTTGCTGAAGCAATCGAGAAGATTAACCCACCTTTGGAAAAGGGCAAGAAGAGAACAAAGAACGATGAAGATGTCGATGGAAATTTTGAAAAGAAGTCGCATCGAAAAAAAAATTAAACACCAAATTACCCACACCTTTGCTGACATTGAATTTTCAAGTGATGAATAAACTCTACATACAATAAAGAAGAAGAAGAAGTACACCAAGAAAATGCCGGCTTCAGGAAACACAAAAATCAAGAAAATGGTTGAAATAAAAAGGAGAAGCCATGAAGAGATTTAACATAGCATTATTTCTATTTTAGGCTTCTAATAAAATTATTTCGCATACATGATGATGAATTTTTTATGATATTATTATCGTTCTCCATTTACCATTTTACTATGCACTACATTCCTTCTAATTCCACAATTAAATTAAACCTCTACCCCTCTTTATGAACTTATGTTTGGGTATAACACCTTCAAATATCCTTATTCTGCAAATTCTTATATAGCTTGTACTTCTTATTTATTTATTTTTTTATTTATTTTTTTGTTTCTTAGATTGATTATGCTCTCCACCTATTCAAAATTCAAATAAATATGAATAAAAAATCTTACATTTTAAAACTACATGTTACGAACTTAAATTTTAAATTCGGTACACGTGCAACGCAGGTGCACCTTACTAGTTTGATTAAAAGTAACCACCAATTTGGTGTTGCTCAAGTACTATAATTCTGTTATTGCTACAATATAAGGTGAATACTATAAACATAAAAATCTGAAAAATAATTCAAGGTAGTGTTGTATATTGAAATTCCAAATAAATATATGATGAAAATGCAAAAACACAATAGACAAACTAGAATTATTACCTAATCCAAAATAGAGATGCTAGTCCCAGTCTTTTTTAGAATTGGTTGGTGGTAGACTCGTAAGGCTTCAGTTATCTTAAATTCTTAATAATGCTGATAAACCATGTTTGCTATGTTTATTAGCGTTGAAGTCAATCATTTTGCCATGTTATCTAAACCTCAAGAGGAAAAAGAGTGAAAAAGAAAAAAGAAAAAATATAATGAGTAAAGAAAAAGCAAGAAAGGGAACTATACACCAGTAAAAGCATAAAACATAATATGTAAAAAGAAAGCAAAAAGGGGACCACGAGTGATTAATCATATCAACGCTAATAAGGCTAAAAGGAGAGCTGACCTAACACCATCACCATGTGCAGCAATTGTCGGTGAGTTCCTCTCTTCTTTCATACCCTTCTTGGCTCTTGCATAGAAACAAATATCATTATTATTAATTAAATTATTTTCCTACTACAAAATTCATTACATTCTTTATTCAAACTAAGTTAATAAAATATAGTAACAAATATTCCATAGTTAATTCTATTTTTAGACAGGCCTTAACCGTTGACACACCTCTATATATATATATATATATATATATATAGAGGAAGGATCATATGAGAATGACTCTTAATGCGAGGAATGAGAATGACCCTGGATCATTGGATCAATCAAACCAATGGACATGATCAAGTCAAAACTTAATAAATCACAGTCAATATGAATGGCATTATAGTAAATAATTGTACACAATATGGTCAATTATAAAAATTATACCACTAAGTGAAGGTAAACTAGACATTATATACTACAAGTGGACCCCACCACTACACCACTAACCTACCCCTCTCTCCCTCTCACCCGTAAACACACACAACACACACAAAACACCATACGCGACACACACATGAACACACAGAAACACACACAATCTGAATGGAGCCGCCGCTGGACGTCAATCGCACCGCCGCCGGACGTCAACCTCACCGCCGCCGCAAGAATCGCCGGCCACGTCGCCCCCGACCCCAGCCACTGCCGTCGATGTGGAGATCTATCAGATTCCGGCACGGCAAGTGGCACGTTTGGTCGACCTCGCCGGCAACTGTGTTGTCGTCCTCGCCCAACGACCGTCTATCACTGCCTGTCGCCATTCCTCCACCGCGTCGTCGCCGTCAAATTTATCTTCTCAATCGCCGACCTCGATGCTCAGATCCGACAGCGAGAAGAAGGTCGCCACCTCCGGCGACACTAACCGGAGAACATTCAGCCCCGTTTATCACTGCTCCCGAAGTCGCGTCGCCACCACCATCCTTCCCGTACCTGCGAAGGCGGCGAATCTATGTGAGGAGAAAATGGCCGTTTTCCTTTTTTTTTTTTTTTTTATTGAGCAGATGAAGTCGGCGAGGTCCTATCGGCGGGCTGTGGCGATGAAGATGGCGGCGGGTAGCGTGTCGACGGCGACTGGAACATCGGGGGGTGAGCTCCGGTGGAGGTGACGGGGGGCCTGCAGAAATTGTGTTTGGGATTTGTGGGGTTTTTATTTGTAAATTTGAGATGGTGTAAGGGCTTAATTGCAATTTCTTTAAGTTTCTTTTATTTCAATTTAACACTTGAGGCAAATCTGTAATATAATAAAAGTCTAATTAATGCACAATAAAGTTACATCAATTGCACATTATTATGTGAAAACATACACATTAAAAAAAAGCCATATTTTTACGAAAGCATTTTTTTCACGATTCCTACACATCTAAAAGTTCACAAATTTATTAAAGTCTCACTTTTTTTAGGTTTTTCATCGGTTGATCAACAAAACCGATCGATTGGAGTGTCAATATTGATCTAATATTGTCGAACATTTGAAAAAAAAAAACAAACCGATCGAACTTTTGTTCCAAGACATTCTAAACCTAAATCGTCATAATTGGATTTTTATTTTTTCAATTAACTGCAATAAATTATATTACTTATTATAATATTTCATATTACGTCTAATTTGATTAAAAAATAATATATTATGTAAACAAAATATAATGTGCTAACTAGCAGTCACTAAAGTGGAATCCGTCCAACATTATGGTGCAAGATGATGGCCGGTATTGTGCAGATTAAATCAATTGATCTTTTGTCCCAAATCGAATTGATTATGCACATAATTAAAATAATAATAATAATTTTATTATGTATATTAAAAATATATTTAATATGTTAATAATTTTATTAATTATTTTTATATTATTAGTTGTTGAAAAAAAAAAATGTGTCCGATCGGTTTCGATCTCTTTTGTACAATCTGGTGGTAATAAAGTGCAGCGAGTTATTTTGTAATGTGCAACGTGCTATTATATAAAGTGCAACGTGTTGTTATATTACAATTTAACGTATTATTTACTGTTGCTGACATTATTGATGATGGTAGAGATTGTGGACCACGAGATATCTAGATAGATATATAGACTGCACACAATTCTAGGGCCTGTTCTTCATTGGATTGATTTTAATTGAATTTAAGTTTCTCAATTTTTAACATCCACTTGACATGCTTGATCTTCATTAGCTAGGTTATGAAGATGAGAGTTATTATGTTTTTGGCTTGATATTAATGTTATTTTTACATAAAAATAAATAACTAAATAATAATAATATTAATAATATTGAATAATAATTATAATTTTTATATAATTAGGCCTCGGTTTTTTACAATTTTAAAAAAACAAGTCCGCATTGAACCGGAATAACCGGGTTTTTTAAAGTAAAATGAAAAAAAAAAAATCAAACCAAATATAAGATTTCGAACCAAAATTTTAAGTTCGGTTCATTTTGTTCGATAATTTGCAATCTGATAGTCATTATTGTTCAATTCGTATAACCATAATGTGCAATCGCGATACATAAAAATATATAAAAACTAATACTATTTGTTTGTTTCTTTTTTGTTTTTTGTCGTTTCATTCGTTATGGTGCATTCTGTTAGTCAGAAATGTGCAACTTGTTTAACACTATTGTGCAATTATAACACATTTATTAAATCATACATTTTTTAATAATTTGACTTCAAATCATACTAAAACTAAATCGAAATAATCGATTTATTTGCGCAATCAATTGAATTAACTTAAATAATCGTAATAGTTTATTATAGTATTTTTAATATATTTACTTAATATTTTATATTATACTCGGATGAAAAAATAAATATTATATATATAAATCATATAATTTTGTCGGTTCGATTATTTAAGTTATTTTTGTAAAATAAAGATGATATCGAACCAAACCGAATTTTTAAACTGAAAAACAGATAATCGAACATAAATAAAAAAAATCGAATGAAAGTTTAATATCAGTCGGTTTTCTCTATTTCATATGAAAAATATATTTAATATGTTAATATTTTTGTTTATTATTTTTATATTGTTTATGGTTGAAAAAAAAATTGTGTACGGTCGGTTTCGATCACTTTTGTACAATATGATAGTCGTGACAATGTGTAGCGTGTTGTTTTGTAAAGTGCAACATGTTGTATTATAAGGTGCAAAGTGTTGTATTATAAAGTGCAACGTGTTGATGTATAAAGTGCACTGCTATAATTTTGGTACGTTACCTTGATTGTTTTGTAAAGTGCAACTGATGTGATTGATGTTAAAGTATTACGTATATCTGTTTTTCAGATTTATGTTGTGTGGTATTTTGGCCGGAGCTGTTGACGTTAACTGTGGAGTATGTTGATAAAGTGCAACTTATCGTTTGTAAAGTGCAATGTGTTGTTTTATAAAGTACAATGTTATGATATATAAAGTGCACTATTTTATATGATCACATATAAATTATTTGTTATATTAAAACTATATTTAGTAAATATAATTGTATATTAAATTAACCCAATTAATTGAAATAATATTATTTTGATATTATCATACAATCTATTGATTGGGGTATTTTTTTATGTGCATTTAAGTTTATAAATATCAGTGTATTTTTTATGTGCGTTTCAATTTTATAATAGACCAGGGAATTTTTTATGTGTATTTCAATAATAATATAATATGTATGTGTATAAAACAATATATAAAAAATAATATGTTGATAGTGTGCAGTGAATTGTTTTATAAAGTGCAACGTTGTGTTTTATAAAGTGCAGTGTGTTGACATATAAAGTGCAGTGTGTTGACATATAAAGTGCACTACTCTATGTGATGACATATAAATTATGTTTTTTTTTTAAGACTAGATTTGGAAGATAAATTATTTATTACTTATATTATGAAAATAAAAAATAAAATAAATTCATCATTTTTATTTATTATTTTATATTATTCTTATATAATATATTTATTTATAATTTTAATTATATAAGTATAGATAATATATAGAAAATAATATTTTTATACACTTTTTATAAATTATAATTTGACCATGGACTAAATTAGAATAAAATCAAAATTGTAAATTGCACATAAATCCCTAGAACTCATCAAATTTCCAAATGAAGACCCAAAATCTCTAATTCCCAACATCAAACTCCCGTCACTGCCTAATCAGGTTGCCCCGGCCGCCGTTGAACGGACGGCCGTTCCCGGCCCTGCCACGAGCTCACCGGTGATGGAGTTCGTCAATTTTGGTTTTATTTTGGACAGATTCTTTCGACTCCGGCGACTGTTATGGAGATCGGCTCCGGCGACTGTGGAGGAGGGGGATGACAGGTCAACGACCGAATTGGTTGAGGTGTTTTGGCCCGCATATATGAAATCGAAATGGTCGGAAGAAAACACCGGCGTCTGTGAGTTGGTTGATGGCGGCGGATGAAGGCGTGGCGGCGGTGGTGAAGGCGACGGCGGTTCGGCTGGTGGTGGTGACGAGGGCGTACTGGGCGGAGGCCGGCGCGTCGGTGAGAGGAGAGGTCACGGTTGATGTGCGGCTGTGAGAGAGGTTGCGGGTGGCCGCCGGCGATGGCGGGCGACGGCCGTCGATGGCGGGAGATAGCCGGCAATGGCGGGGCGACGGCCGGTGAACCAGCCTGTGAATGTGTGTGTTTGTGTGTTTTTTTCTCTGTATACTACGTGTGTGTGTGTGTGTGTTAATTGTGACAGAGAGAGAGAGAGAAAATGGGAGAGTGTAATTGAGAGAGAGGAGAGCATGGGGTCGGGTAGTTGGCAGGTAGGTTGGGTAGTTGGCAGGTAGGTGTTGGTGGTGTGAAAAAATACCATATATAAAGGTTTGTATTTATCTGAAATAAATATTAAAATCTTACCTAAAATTTTTGAAGTTACTAAACTTGGTAACCTTTTTTAATTCTCGCATCTATAAATTAATTAATCAATTTATGGTATAGAGTTGACAAAATTAATAAATCCGATTTTGATATAAAGTGTGCATTTTATTTGAGGTATTTGATGGTCAATTTTATTTTTTCTAGAAAATGTGTTATCATTAATAAATGTCCGAGTTTATAGTATAAAGTGAGTGGTTTTATTTTGGTATGAGATGTCTGAATATAAATGGTATCAATTTTATTTGGCATTGATAGAAGTGTGCTTGAAAATTTTGAAAACAAAATAACTGGTATGAATTTTATTTGGTATAGGTATGAAAGTCGAACTTTAGGTTGATTTGTTATAATAACAAGGTTATGATTCTTAAATTTTAGCATATTCCCTTAATAACTTGTCATAAGATATTGATGATAATTCGACAAATTGGTATGTATTCCTCTTGAAAATCATAAAGATATTTGAACAAATATTGATTAATAAAATTTAAAATACATGTGTATTACACAGGTGCTTATTACAAAATTTATACATAAATTTAAAAGTAATAAAAAAGTATGCTTTTAAATCTAAAATTACACTACCACATATACTACTTAATCATCTTATATTATAATTCTCTTTAACTTATATCGTATAACTACTTTGTAGTTAAATTTATTTAATTTAAAGATACTTTTTAAATATCGATATAATTATTTATATACTTTATCGTACAATATAGATGTCAAACTAAAACTAATGAATAGATGATTTATTTGATATATATTATATATGCAAAAATTGATAATAAATATAAAAGTTAGCTTTTATTTACAATTTAAGTTAGTAAAGTGTATTATAATTAACAAAAATGCGAGAAAAAAAAAGATTGAGGCAAAAAATTTCATTACTTATAAACCAAGTCCTAAATTGGAAATTATTTTAAACCACAATTAATACTCATAAAAATGGTCATAATATCTAATATATTTAATGATAATTACAAGCCTAATTACTTATGGATTGAAACGATGCATGAAATTTTTCAAATAGGATTCCGAAGCATATCTGCCGCTTAGTTAGGTACAGCGCATTCGGGAATTAGAAGGGGATTTTTAAATATAATTTTTTTAACAAAAAAACTAGTACTAAACAACCATGAAGATTTAAACGTGACCATAAATTGTGAATCGCTAAACACCGCGTCCTTTTATTACTACCTACTGCCCCCCGCGACCGTTTTGCCCCTCTCATAATTCCCTCTTTCAAAAAATTTTGAAATCTCTCCCAAACTCCTCTGGCCAGATTCTAACTAAAACAAATTCCAAAAAAATGGAAAATTGTCACCACGACCGAGACAAAGGTCTCATGATTCCTTCGATATATTTTTTTTTATTAGTAAATTATTTTTCAAAAATATTTAATGATTTTGTGGCTCGTCGGCCCAAGGGATGACAAAAATAGGTCAATGTAATCTTTAGAAGCGAAGTGGCCGGGCGATGCCGACCGACCGTAGGCGCGGCTGGTTTCACCTGTCAGCTGTGATCGCAAGCCAGCCACACCTCCAACCGACCGGCGAGTTTGAAACTTTTTTTTTATTTCTTAATAATTAAAATTATTTAAATCTGTGTAAATATTTAAAAATAGAATTGAATTAATCTTTTGATTTAGGTTAATTTTGATAAAATTTGGTTTAGTAGTTATTAGTATATGTTACTTATAAATAATATATTATATATATTAGTTAAATATAATTATATTAAAATTACGATAATAATACTTTGTAATAATACGAATTATTAATAGGATAATGCATCTAACTTTAGTATTTTCTGGAAATGAATTAGTTGTAATATATGTAATAAAATGGTTTGTTGAGTAATTATTAGTTTCAAAAATTATAATTAGTATTCCAATATAAGTGCAAAACATTGTATAATTTTATTAATTAATTAGTTTGTATAATTATATAATTAAAAAGTAGAATTATATTAATTAAGTAGTTATAAATAATTCTTATATTATTTTTTTAATACTTTTAAAGATTATATTATATATATTAGTTAAATGTAATTATATGAAATTATTTTAATAAAAATTAAATTCAATTATAACAAACTAATTATGTATTAATAGGATAATGCATCTAACTTATATTACTTTTAAGAAAATAATTAGTTGTAATATTTAATAATGTATTTGAATTAAATATTTATTTACGATATGCATTAGTTAATATGTAAGTATTAACTAGTTTTACCCCGTGCATTTGCACGAAAACCGATATAATAGAAGAGAAAGTAATTAAAAAATATAGAATAAAATAAAAATCATAACTTAATAAATAAGAAAAAATAATTTATAAAAGTGAATCTAAATATTATTAAACACTCATTTATATACAACATGTGTAGTTTTCCTATCGTCAGAATCCCCATCACAACAAATCATTACTTTTAAATTTCTTCGACTCGTGACTCTGAGATTTGATTATTCAAAATATTTGATGTACCTTTATAATATCCAAAAAAATATTTTTTTATTATTGTATGACTGCAATAAAAAATAGAGATCTTTGAAGTAATTCTTAATTAGTTGTGAAATATGTATCTATATAATACCAAAAAGTATATAGTATCAAAATAAAAACAATAATATTTTGTATTTCAGGACATAAAAAGGCGTTACAGAAATGGACACCATCCAAAATGGGACCTGTCAAAGTAAATTGTGTAACAGAAAGTTACATATTATTATTAAATGGAAAACATATTTTTATTAAATGAACACCTATTTTTATTAAATGAACTCATATTATTAATAATTACTAGTTGAATAAAATTTATTGAAACTTGCCAGCAATTATATATATATATTCTCTCGGGTGAGAGCTCAAAATTCTCTCTCTGAGATTTCGATTCCTTCGGTGAAGGTCTTCGTTGAGTGTGCGTGTTAGGGTTTTAGATCCATTTCGTTGTGTCTTCTGGGAGTGTGGGTAAGGAAGTTGTAAGTAGCTATTGAGATGGAAACGAGTAAAAGCAAAGAGATTTGGGATGATGTTATGCCTAAGCTCCAACAATTCTCTTTGTCGGAGGAGAAAGTAGGTGAAATTGGGCTCAAGCTAGATGATATCAAGGCTAGTGAAGTCGAGTGCGGATGAAGCCTGTTCGAGAAAGTAGTGGGAGACAGAAGAGCTGGGATTTTGGGGATCAAAAGAACAATGGGTTCTATTTGGAAAATTCAACACTCGTTGGAGGTAAAGGAATGAGCTTTAATTTTTTTCAATTTATATTCAACTCGATTGAGGACAAAAGAAAAGTGGCATTTGGGCATAATTGGTTGTTCGAGAACCAATATCTCATATTACATGATTGGATCCCGGGGCTAACTAGTAACCATACTTGTTTTGAGGAGTTAAATCTCTGGGTCCAGGTGTACAATGTCCCGCTTAACTGGATGAATATAGAGGTGGGTATCAAAATTAGGAGTGTTTTTAAGGGTGTTAAGAATGTTGCTATCTGCAAATCTTGGAGGGAGTTGGGAAGCTACATTAAGTTACTGGTGGTGATCAATCTCCAAGAACCTGTTCCGAGATGCACAAATGTGAAATTGGTAAATCAAAGGGTGAGAGTAAATTTTAGATATGAGAAATTAGTCAATATTTGCTACTACTGTGGGAGAATAGGACATCTGGATACAAATTGCCATGGAAGACTCAAAGATATTGAAGATAATTATCTTACAGAGGGGCAATATGCAGAGTGGATTAAGACAAATGAGAACACCACTGGTGGAAGAAACAGTTATTCTAGTAGTTCTGGGGCCAAGACAAGTGGGCAACAACAAAACTCCAAACTGGGTTCATTGTTTCTGCAAGCATATAACCTAACTCTTCAATGAATAACATGGAGGGAAGGGAACACAGATGGGAGGATTTACAAAAAGCTTTAAGGGAACAAGAACAAGATAATGTGGGGGATGAGATGCAAGTTTGTTTAGCAGCTATAGTGGAAGTACCAGAGCAAGAGACACAAACCTGTAATGATATTGTTAGTACAAACCTCATTGAAGAAGAAATAGAAGGCCACAACACATAACTCATGAAGGTGGGAGGGGCCTCTTACCTTACTGAAGGAACTTTAAGACAATATAAAAGAGCTACTTGGAAAAGAAAATCAACATCATTAGGCAGATTAACTAGAAATAGGGATGAAGTTGCGGAAAGAGCAGGATCTCAGACAAGTAAAAGGGGCAGAGAAGTAGTTCAGCTACAAGACAGAGGTGAGATGAGTGAGAGAAACACACTAGCATCAATCAAGAAAACTACGATGGACAATGTTGAGGTGGAGAAGGCCAGCCTAGAGTGGCCCCAGAGTGATCAATGAAAGTCATGGTGTGGAACTATAACGGACTGGGTGAGCCCTCTAAAGTTTTCCAGATCAAGGATTCTAGAAGAATCCACAACCCAAATCTATTTTTTTTGTCTGAAACCAAGAAATCTGTTGATTTCACCAGAATTGTTTGTAGGAAGTTAGGTTTTGAGAGTAGGTGACATTTGGAGAAACCTTTGGGATCTAGTGCTGGCTTACTTCTAATGTGGGATGAAAATACATAAGTAAGGATTGTGTTGGGTAATGATTTTGTTTACAAGTGGAAAGGGTCCAGGTATGGTTGCGTGGGTTTGGTCAATTCTAGTTATATGAGTTCAGATAGAAGAACTCAGATGAATCAGTGGGAATTCTTAGAAGAAAGGCAAAGGAGTTGGGGTAGTACTTGGGCTATGGCAGTGGACTGGAATGACCTTACTAGCAATGAAGAAAAGAGGCATGGAAGGAGAAGAACTAAGGACAACTTTTTGAGGTCTAAGGAGTTTCTAATGAGGATGGGTATGCAGGAGATTGACCAAAAAGGAGCTTTCTTCACTTGGGGGAATAATAGGGCTGCAGAAGGGTATGTGGAGGATTGATTAGATAAGGTGTATGCTTCTCTGGGGCTAGCAGTTTCCCTAAGATGGAAGTTTTCAATTTCTTCAGGAGTTCCTCTAATCACAATGTCCTACTCATAGACACTGACAACGAGATGGTGTTAACCAAAAAGAGGTTTCAGTTTGATAGTGGATGGTTGAAAAGGGAGGCGGTGGCTCAAGCTGTGGAAAGTGGTTGGCAGATATATGCTAATGGGACACCTATGTTCCAGGTCCATCAGAATGTTAAAAATACCATAATGGCTTTACTAGCATGGAGTAAGCCTACAAAGAGGAACACTGAAGAAGCAATCAAATCTCTTACCTCAAAACTTGAGCAGTTGAGAAGTGAATGGGGAGAAAGGAACTGAGAGGAGTGGAAGGTAGTGAAAAATGATCTGGACAATGCATATAAGGAGGAAGAAAGATTTTGTAGATTAAATTCAATAGCCATTTGGCTCAAAGAACATATAGAAATACCAGGTTCTTCCATGCTTTTGTGGCTCAAAAGAGAAGAAGAAACTGCATTCAAAGACTACTCACTGAGAGTGGAGACATTTGGGAGGCTGAGAAAAAAATAGTTAATCACATTACAGAGTTCTACTCTTCTCTTTTTACCTCAGAAGGTTCTCAGGGTGGAGATAGCATTCTGCAGCATATACCTCATTCCATCTCAGATGACATGAACAGTTCTCTAACTAGGCTTGTGGAGTGTCAAAGAAGCAATTTTCAGCTTGGATACTGATAAATCACCTGGGGAGGAGGTATGTTTGCTATCTTTTTTCAACACTTTTGGCATTTGTTAAGGGTGGATGTTTGTAGAGCTATTAAAAGTTTCTTTTTGTCTGGTCAATTGTTGAAAAATTGGTACCACGCAATTGTTACACTAATTCCTAAATGTTTATACCCTGAGTCCCTCAGTAATTATAGACCAATTAGCTTGTGTGGTGTTCTATATAAAGTGATTGCTAAATTACTGGCCAATATATTGTAATCTAGTCTTGATGTTTGTATTAATCCGGTTCAGAATATTGTTCCTAGTAGACAACTGATGGATAATGTTGTAATTTCCCATGAGGTATTCCACTTTCTCAACAGACATAGGTCTGGCCCTAACATGTTTTTTTTTTTTCTTTGAAACTTTGTGGATGGAGTTGATGGTTGACGCTGAGCATTGCCTAAAAAGGGGATTACCGCCTGAAGTTAATAATTCGTCCGTTCTTTCTTCATTCTTTGATTCGATACGGAAAGACCATCTCCTTCATTCTCCCAGGAAGGAGTCAGTAGGCAGCTACAGCAGTTTCAGTTAGGGTGCTCTTCCTTACTACTGGAAAGCAAACCTAGCAACCCTTAGACAAGCGAGCTCTAGTACTTGATATGCCTCAACAACCTGAAATGCTATGGTTTGTTGACTTTGACGTATGCGCCCAGAGGAAAGGTAGTTAGCTAGTTTACTACGTTGAGATGGTACTCTAAAAAACAGGAAGAAGAGAAAGCAAAGCGAGAAAGTCTTGTGGATATCAAAACGACTGCTCAACCAGAAAAGATGATCCCTGTGGAAGGGGAAGATTGAGGAGATGCATTGGGAAGACATGGTGAGAAAATTTGACTTCATTTCGCTTCGCTTAATTCGTTGGGTCAAAAAGTTGAGTAAAGGTCATTGTTGGTGGACAAACAGGCATTGCCCTTATTAATACCGGCAGTTCAAGTACATTCATTGATTTGTCTTTCGCAGTGAAAACCACTTGCCATATCCAAAATCAAAATAGCTGTGGCTGGGGGAGGCCAACTTACATCTGGGGCAATCATAGCAGACATTGCAATCTCTATTCAGAAACATGCCTTCAACAACACCCTTAGAGTCCTGGACTTGAAAGAATACGATGTCATCTTGGGTTGTGATTGGCTCTATAAACATAGCCCATTTGCTCTCAATTTGAAGACCAGAGAATTTCTCATTACCTTAGAAGATGATACTCTCCTCTCATTAAAGGATTGCACATCTCAAGACGCGTACACTGAACAACTGAAAAGGATAATGAACAAGCTTCTCAACAAAGGCATTTCTGGTTTCATTCTGCATCTCAACATCTTATCTTTGCAGGCACCAAACTCTTCCTCCGATATTTAAGCCTTACTGCAACAAGACTCTGAAGTCCTTCAGGAGCCCACTACACCCCCTCCTCACCATGATATTGACCATTCCATTCCATTGCAAGAGGGAGCAACCACACCCAACATCCGTCCTTATCGATCGTGTGCCTCACAAGGTCCTTTTTATTCTTACTTCAGACAAAGCTTCCGGAGCTAGACTGAAACATCCTTCTACCAACCAATCTTTTGCAAAGAATTCGCCACCCTATTGGAATGTGGAATGGAAAGTATAAGTTAATCACGCCGCTTCGAAGCGAAAGGGCGGCAGGCGATGGGGAGGTAAACTAGATAAATGTTTCAAAAAGGAAAATGATCCGACCGGGTTCTAGGTGGATGTTGAACCCTCGCTTCATGGAATAACAATCTCCATTCCGGGTTTGCAAAGGCTCTGTAAAACTTCTCCCAACTATTTGCCAGACCATGACGACTATTAGTCAAATTCTAGTTGGGCCCGGAAGAACTCTAACTCCCTAACTCTTCGCCTAGATGTATGGTCATCATGATCGGGGGACCCGTCACCGGTGGTGACGCCCCTATTAGCAACAGGAACAACATGAACATCGTTTGCACTGAAAGGCTGGCCTTCGGTCTTTACTTTCCCATACTTAGTAATAGATACAGTGAGGAGCTCATTAACTCCCTTAGAGCCAGTGTGCCAGTCCCAGATTGAACCTATCCCCGATAGAGTCGTTCCCTGAAAGAATATAATCTCGAAAATGTAATCTCGGTTAGCTCTCTTTACCGGTCTAGCACTCCTTTTCTACGGGTGCCTACGAAAAGAAGCACTCGACCACCTTCGAAAGACAACAACCGCAGGGCTGATCTTTTGGTCATAGAATAGGGCTCAAACAACAAGAACATCTAAAGACAGAACCTTCCTTAGCTCGTAGCCCGTGTAGACAGGACTTTCGCCAATAACCTATCTTTTGCCTAGCCCATCTGTGTTTGAACTTGTCCCTGACTTGTGGACCTAAATGAGGCAGCCTAGCTCATCAACTACTGATAACTCGGAACACCAATCCGCTTAGCAATCTATGAGGCAAGGAAAGATTGACCGTAGGGGCTTAGTTTCCAGGTCCTGTACCATTCATATCAGGATTAGCTCTTTAACTCAACTGCCAATGTCGGACGCGCGTAGCTACACATTTTCCTGAGCCTGAAATAATTAGCTGCCCTGTACCAGTCCTAGAACCTGAGGGACGGAAACAATCACCATAGGACGCTCTTTCTAACACCTTTACACACCTGTCGAGGAGTGGCTATGTTAACGAGTTGGACGTTGCGCCGGTGTTCATCCACTACTTCTGATGCTAGCGGTGGTTGCCTCTACACTGCACTGAAAGCCAGAAATAAAGGACCGATGGGTAGAGATTTCGTCGTCCCTTGCTGTTCATGTTGAGGATTTGCTCTGTTCTGTCGAAGGTTGGATTCAATTCGAAGATTGTCGGCTTGCCCACTACTCGGAGGATTCGCAGCTACGTGTGATTTGCCCACTACTCCTTAAACTCCTCGTGGCTTCTAACGTAGGTTCGGAGCTTGGACCTTTATATATATATAAGAGTATCTATAATGTTTTGGGTTCAATCTCAAAAAATTATATGCCACCTAAGAAATAAACTCAGTCTAAAAAAATATATTCTCCAATGCAAATAAAAGTAGACTGGGTCCTGCTGATGTGGCAACCAGAAAAAGAGACCCGGTCTACCGTTAAGTCTATTTTAGACCCAAGGAGAGACCTAGTCTCTTTGCATTAGAGTGGATTTTTGTTAATTTTACATAGTTTTATCCATGTCATCTAAGACTTGAGTTTATTTACATGCCACATAGGTAAGACTAGACTTAATGCATTGTAGATGCTCTAAGATAATCAATTATAATTTATGACATAATAATTTCTAAGTTCTAACATAATAATAATAATAATAAATTCAAATTTATAACATAATAATTTCTACTAACATAATTTCTTTAATAAATAAAAATTAAGTAATAAAAAAATTTTGGCCGTCCGGCGATACCGGCTGCGCGCGGTGGCGGTCGGCTGCAGATCGCGACCGAAGATGGTCTTGGCCAGTCTCGCCGGCCGATCGCCACAATTTTCGTACCTCATTGTCGCTCATTTTCGCCGAAAGTCACCTCTTATTCAAAGAGTACGATTTTTTGAGTTTTTTTTTAAAAAAGGAGAGTAACAAACGGTCCAAAAGGGGGACAGTGTTTAGTAACACCCTAAATTTGTGGTACTCCAAATAGAGATGGCCAGGGTCGACCTGGAACCGACACGTATGTACGGGTCCTTGAACCGGACCCGTGGTAATACCGTGTCGATTTCGGGTTTTTATTTTTTTTAAAACCCGTCGATTCCAGGTCGATTTCAAGTCGGAAGACGAGTCCGAATTTTTGGCATAATTTTTTTTTTTATTAAAAAAAACCGGCAATGAACCGACTCTTACATATAGGCGGGCCGGTTCCGGACCCATGTTTTGAGGTCCGGCGGCTGGGTCGTGAACCGGTCCTGCATTTGGACACGTCTAACTCCAAATATAAGGTGACAGGTCATCGGTGGGCGAGCATCAAGTAGTTCCACCTTCACTTTCACACTGCAATTTATTTATTTACTTCTTTATTGTGTGTCTGCATTAAACCCATTCTAAAGCTCGAAGCTTTTCTTTGCCTCTGGGTGTTTTCCATGAGCAGATCAAGATCTGTAAAAATGGCGAGGCTCTCGATTTGGGTGATGGCCCTTGCGATCTGCGCTTGTCTCTGGTTCGTCGGCGCGGATCCATCCGACAAAGAAATAATCGTGAAAAAGGTGAACGGGAAAAAGGTCTGTTCGCAAGGATGGGAGTGTAAGGATTTGTCGGAGCACTGTTGCAACCAGACGATTTCTGATTTCTTCCAGACGTATCAGTTTGAGAATCTCTTCTCCAAGAGGAATTCTCCGGTGGCCAAGGCCGTCGGGTTTTGGGACTACAGATCTTTCATCACCGCCTCCGCCATTTATCAGCCGCTTGGGTTTGGGACCACCGGCGGCAAACTCATGCAGATGAAGGAAGTTGCTGCTTTCCTTGCCCATGTCGGCAGCAAGACTTCTTGTGAGTGTTTTCTCTCTCATTTTATTTAAAAATAT